TAGGATCAATGTCAGGTGGCAGGGAGCTGTAGGAGGCGGGAGGGTCACCTTCACCCATCCGTACTGAATCAGCACAATCTCACACACACAATAGACTCATGCACACACACACACACACACTCTAAAACACATGCACACACAAACACGCTCTCCAACTCCCGCTCGGTTTTGCCTCAGGTTACCGGACTGTGACCTCGCAAAACACAAAACCACACCTCTCCTCCTCCCTTTATCAGTTCATTGCTTCTCCAGAAAAACAGCCAGTCATAATGGTTTCATGTTTCCTTTATTTCCTGGTCCTCTCTCTTTCTTGTGCTTTCCTTTTTTTTCTTACTTTCTCTCTCCTTTCTTTCTCTTGTTATCCCATTCTATTTAATTATTTCTTCCTTCGTTCCTTTGTGCTTTTCATTCTCCGCTTCGTCTCATGTTTTTGAGAGAGTACTTATCCATCATCTGAGTCAAAGGAGCTACGATGCCTCACTGACCCTTTTAATTAAAGTGAGCTCCAGGCCTGGTGATGAGAGCTCATCGCTGACCTCACTGAGGAGTGATATGCTCCCTGGCAGACTTATAAGGAACCTGTTGTTGCATTTTTCTTTATAGGAGTAGAGTACTAATGGACGGCTAAATAACACTGCTTACTTGCCCCATGCCATATTGTGTTCATTTGAGGTTCAACTGAATGTTTCCGTACTTCACTCCTTAGGGAGTCACCTTTACTTAGACTGCCATCTAAAGACAGGGGTTGTGTTTATGTCAACATGTTTCATTTTACGTCCATCCTCAGATCACTCCCATTCTGTACTGTGTGTTAGTCCATGGGCACCATTGTGAGAGGCGTACAAAAGGATGGGATTAATAGACCAGAGGCACACGCTAAATTCATGGAGGGGAAGAGAACATCTTTGATTGAGAATATTGAATGGAATATCTATCGGATAGACGGGTTTACAAACAAATGCATCTTACATTGGGGTTAATGTATACCACAGGTTTTGTGTGTGTGTGTGTCCACGCTAGCATGTTTGATTTTTTGTTTTTCATCCCACAAGCATTTAATCTTTTATTTTTAAATCTGCCACTGCTGTCTGTTTTGTGTTGAGCAATCCCGTGCCCTAGATTTAATAGTGAGTGAGCATCAGAGCGTTTTAACACACGTTGTTGCACAGCTAGTTTGCGTAAATATTCTGCAGGGGAGGTTAAAAAAAAGATGCTGATCAAGATTAAAATTGAACGCTAGAAGAAACCCTAATTTGCATTTCCTGTCTGTTAAAGAGAGTGGCCTGGCTATATCCATTCTATTAGTTACAATGATATTTAAGGTCACTGGCTATTTAAGATGCTTTGTTTGGCTGACCTACAACACAGACAAGCCACTGTATGATGGCGTAAGATCATGCACCATCGAGAGCATTCTGTCTGGCTGTATCACCGCCTGGTTGGCAACTACACTGCCCGCAACCGCAGGGCTCTCCATAGGGCGGTGCGGTCAGCCGACTCAGCCCAACGCATCACCAGGGGCACACTGCCTGCCCTCCAAGACAGCTACAGCACCCAGTGTCACAGGAAGGCCAAGAAGATCATCAAGGACCTCAGCCACCCGAGCCACGGCCTGTTCTCACTGCTAACATCTAGAAGGCGGAGACAGTAAAGGTGCATCAAAGCTTGGACCGAGAGACTGAAAAACAGCTTCTATCTGCAGGCCATCAGACTGTTAAACAGTCATCACTAGCCGGCCTCTGCCCGGTACCCTGCCCTGAACCTCAGACATTGTCACTAGCCGGCTACCACCCAGTACTCTACCCTGCACCTTGGAGACTGCTGCCCTATGTACTGTAAATCTGTGTACGCAGTGGTGGTAAAAGTACCCAATTGTCATACTTGAGTAAAAGTAAAGACACCTTAATAGAAAATGACTCAAGTAAAAGTGAAAGTCACCCAGTAAAATACTACTTGAGTAAAAGTCTTAAAGTATTTGCTTTTAAATATACTTAAGTATCAAAAGTAAATGTAATTGCTAAAATATACTTAAGTATCAAAAGTCAAAGTAAAAGTATAAATCATTTCAAATTCCTTATATTAAGCAAACCAGACGGCACCATTTTCTTGTTATTTTAATGTACGCATAGCCAGTGGCACACTCCAACACTCAGACATCATTTACAAACAGAGCATTTGTGTTTAGTGAGTCTGCCAAATCAGAGGCAGTAGGGATGACCAGGAATGTTCTCTTGATAATTGTGTGCATTGGACCATTTTCTGTCCTGCTAAGCATTCAAAATGTAACAAGTACTTTTGGGTGTCGGGGAAAATGTATGGAGTAAAATGTACATTATTTTCTTTAGGAATGTAGTGAAGTAAAAGTAGTCAAAAATAGAAATAGTAAAGTACAGATACCCCGAAAAACGACTTAAGTAGTACTATAAATCATTTTTTACTTAAGTACCTTACACCACTGTGTGTACGGGACCAATAAATGTTGATTTGATTTGATTTGAGATTCGGAGCAGAGAACTCAGATAAATACAGGTTAGAATGATGGAAGGAAAGAGCTTAGTGCAGTATAAGGGTAAGATGTTGTGACAGTGGGTTGGGTTCATCTACAGGTTTTTGTTTCCCTCCCCAATGTAATTTCCCTTTGCATAGATGTAAGGAATAAGCCGGAGGTTGATTTATCCAACAGGTTAGGCTTCCAATAATGTTGATTCAGTTATACAATACCAGATTGACAACATAAATAATTTTGTTCAATCTTTTCAGTGTGTTCTATCTTTACAAATGCTTTTTAAATGCTTATACTAGAGGTACTTAAATAGCATTAATGCTTGTAAATGTGTATAAATAGTTCAAAATGGACCTCATTCCACCAGCACTTGAAAAAAAAAGTGTTTTGTCTTGGTTTCTCCTCTTTATAATGTCAGAACAAAGTTTACTGTGGTCAGAGTAGATCTTGTCGGGAGAGATGAAGCTACAGCTATATAAAAACACATTGACATCGATGAAGGATGGCAGATAGATTGACAGTAGAAGCGCTGAGATACTCAACAGACCTGACAGTCTCTTCACCATGAAGACATTGTGTAATATCGCTACAGAGGCGATACCAGGTGAGATACTGGGTGAGATAGCAAGAAGCATGGGGCTACTGTAGCAGGACTGAGATTGGTTATCAGGACAGGCAATTGAGATTAGCCTATTGCCTGTGTTGTGTCCGGACCAATGGCCTTTTAAAGTATAGCATGTGCTGCTCCAAATGATGCATGTCTAAATTCTCTCTCCCCCTCGTTTTCTCCAGTCCTGTCCTGATAATTCTACAGAGCGCCACCATTTCTAAATTTTCCAACACACTGCAGGAGCTGCTTAGCTGTGGAATTCAATTACCCACTTTCTTAATTGAGGCGTTTTGCTTACACCATTTTCTTGAAGGTCTTTGAAGATTGCACTCCTTCCAATGTCAAACATAGTGTCTCTTGCCTTTTTTGTTATTGCATTTTTTACTTGACATTGAATTATTGAACTAAACTCAAGGCCTCATTAGTTCTCTTGAGTGGGGAACTTATGTTGTGAATAAATGATCACCCTTGAGGTATAACCTGAATTGAAAGAAGCGGCAGGATAATTTACTATGAAATTAAAGATGTTGCTTGGTTCTAGGGTCTTCCCATTGTGCAGTTTCTCACTGTTTGGTGGCATTTATATTACAACGAGAGGGTCAGGTGGGTGATACGTGAGTGTGTCATACAGTATGTGACTGTTTGGTTTTGGTTTCATATTAGTATGCAATCCTAGTACTGCTTTAAGTACAACCTATTTTCACCGGAGGAAGATAAATGAACTATTTACAATCCAGTATAGTAAATTGATTGTTTAGTAATCAATGCAAGAAAACAAGCATGTTGTATGCCCCTCTGGGCAAAAAGCACATACTTCAAATCGAGAAAAAAAATGCCTTTGCTGTTTATGCTTTTCATGTTTTCCCTCTATATGTAGCCTGAAGCAGTAGCTATTCATAGTTTATCAATTAAAGAATAACGATCAGATAGGAATGAAGATTGACCTCGAGGAATAGCTTCCTCAGGGAGATGAATACGTTAAGGTCTCTGTCAGGTCGGACTGGTATGAAATTACCTCAAAGACAAGATGGCAAAACAGATCACTGGGAGGAGGAAGTCTGAAATAGGATATTTATTGGTCAGCTCTTTCCCCTCCTAAAGGTCAGCATTTTCAATACTGGGTGCTTTTTATAGTGCTAGATATCCTTGAATCGGTATATTGTGTTCTCCTCTGTCAAGCCGTTCAATTGCAGTCTGAAGTATTGCTGTTTTTATTTGTAATACGAGTCTTTCAGAGAGTTATCGACTTACCAAAGGATTCTCTCCGGAAGTTGAAGTGTGATTGTTTATGACAGCTCTTGTGTCTTGCAACTTTATCAATGTGTTGTTGAACCATCTTTTAATGGTCAGGTTTGTACAGTATGTTATATTTAATTCAGAACCGGTACAAGCACACATTTGTCTGAACCCAGTCATAGTTATTGCATGTTTCTTTTTACAAATATTTAAATTTTCAAATGTTGAATATATTGCATCTTTCTTAGGGCAACTTTGTTAGGAATACAACCAGTTGAAAGAAGGAGATTTCAGTACAAATACACAGCACTAGAGACAGAGTCTAGGGAACTATGCTGTGTTGACTGGCTGTCTCCGTGTGTGAGAGAACAGGACTCAGAGGACTCAGCCTCACCAGAGCTGACACTGTTGTCCCTGAAGCTACAGAGATCAAGACAGCAGCTATGAACACCACACCACAGCGGGCATCTCTTGTAATTCTAGACCACAGCCAGAGGCAGAGCCATACAAAACCCAAACATTGGGGAACCAGATAGGATGGGAATATTACATCTAGAAATAGTTGGTATTTTTAGCATTTATAGCTCAGAAGATGAACATCTTTAGATAGAGCACTTGGGATCTCAAAACGTACTTACATTTTATTCAAACATGATGGAGATGGAGTCAGGGTAATGCTCTCGGCAAGATGAAAATATCACATATGTCGATGCTAATATACTTTTGTCATGCGTTATTGTTTTCTTATACCATGGCATTGTTGAATACTTGTTTCTGATTGGCTTGAAGTGCATTCTAGAGTGCATTATTTCCCTATAACGCACAGTATATTTGCACAGTAGAATTCAATGGCTATAGTAAATTCTTACATGTTCTATGTTTGAGCTGCTTTTGAAAGCGAAAGTTGAATTGAAAACATTATTGGCATTGTTGAATTTGATTTTCATAATGGCAAGCTAGGACCAATGGTTTGCTTAGCTAAACTAGCAAGTCTGTGTGTTTGGTTATCACAGCAACTACTGTAGCTACACTACTGCTCGTCGAACGTCTCATTCCAAAATCATGGGCATTAATATGGAGTTGGTCGCCTCTTTGCTGCTATAACAGCCTCCACTCTACTGGGAAGGCTTTCCACTAGATGTTGGAACATTGCTGCGGGGACTTGCTTCAATTCAGCCACAAGAGCATTATTGAGGCCGGGCACTGATGTTGGGCGATTAGGCCTGGCTTGCAGTCGGCGTTCCAATTCATCCCAAAGGTGTTCGATGGGGTTAAGGTCAGGGCTTTGTGCAGGCCAGTCAAGTTCTTCCACACCGATCTTGACAAACCATTTCTGTATGGAGCTAGCTTTGTGCACAGGGACATTGTTTGCTGAAACAGGAAAGGGCCTTCCCCAAACTGTTGCCACAAAGTTGGAAGCACAGAATTGTCTAGAATGTCATTGTATGCTGTAGCGTTAAGATTTCCATTCACTGGAACTAGGGGCCTAGCCCAAACCATGACAAACAACCCCAGACCATTATTCCTCCTCCACCAAACTTTACAGTTGGCACTATGCATTGGGCCAGGTAGCGTTCTCCTGGCATCCGCCAAACCCAGATTCGTCCGTCGAACTGCCAGATGGTGAAGGGCATGGTGATCTTAGGCTTGTGTGCGGCTGCTCGGCCATGGAAACCCATTTCATGAAGCTCCCGACAAACAGTTATTGTGCTGACGTTGCTTCCAGAGGCAGTTTGGAACGTGGTAGTGAGTGTTGCAACCGAGGCCAGACAATTGTTACGCGCAATTCCCTTCAGCACTCGCTGGTCCCGTTCTGTGAGCTTGTGTGGCCTACCATTTCGTGGCTGAGCCGTTTTGCTCCTAGATGTTCACACCTCATAATAACAGCACTTACAGTTGACCGGGGCAGCTCTAGCAGGGAAGAAATTTGACGAACTGACTTGTTGGAAAGGTGGCATCCTATGACGGTGCCACGTTGAAAGTCACTGAGCTCTTCAGTAAGGCCATTCTACTGCCAATGTTTGTCTATGGAGATTGCATGGCTGTGTGCTCGAATTTATACACCTGTCAGCAACGGGTGTGGCTGAAATAGCCGAATCCTGTCATTTGAAAGGGTGTCCACATACTTTTGTATATTTAGTCTATCTAGTAAACTTGCTAGCTACTTGAACACATTTCTACCGTCAAATGAACACATTTCTAGTGGCAAATGTGTTAAATTATAGCCATGGTATAAAAGGGAAAATCAACTCGGGGGTCTATGCGTTCTCTGGAAAATAATGCAACTCCGTGGAAGGTCAGTTCCACTCCGCTACTGCAGCCTTACATATGGTATTAGATTGAGTATGTCTTGTTTCATGCTCATTCTGTATTTGGTGCATGTGTTTTATTGATTGGGGGACTCTGTGTTTGTGTGTACTCTGTGTGTGGGTGGAAGGATGGATGGTTGGGAGGTTCAATTTCAGCTGCAGAAGGTCTCACAGCAGGATAGAAAGAGAGGGAGTATGCAGAGAGGACAATTAGGGATACATTAAGAAATAAGCATAATTTTTTACAGTTTTTTTTCTCTCCAGAAACAGCACCTACTCATGACTTTGCTCTTTTCTCAATTAAATTCACAGACTCACTTGGCTCTGGACGAACAGAAGCATAGTGATGAGATGTTTAAAATAAAACAGAACTCATTGTCCCCCATAGAGAAGACCAGACTGTAACCAAGCTCTGGCTCCTGTCGCCCTGCAAGGTCAAACCGGCGACTCCACTGCCAACCCCAGGCAGTGTGGTGCCTCTCTCTCTCCCTCTCTCCCTCTCCCCCACACCCTCGCTCTCCCTCTCTCCCCTCGCTATCCTCCTCTCTCTCTCCCACCTCTCCCTCCACCCTCTCTCCTCCCCCTTCACTACCCCTCCCTCGTCCTATCAGCTGTGGTGCCACCAGCCAGGGGAGGGAAGAGATGAGATGGAAGATGGAGGAGGATACATGGCTGATCAGCCAGCCAGTCATTCAGTCAAGAGGAAGTGATTAGGCGTGTCCCTTCCTCACACTATATAAATGAGCGTCATTAGGTGTGCTGGCCCTGGGCAGGTGGGCCTGGGGGGAGACCCTGGTGTCCTCACTTCTTCTGCTAAAAGCCAGCCTTCCTGTCCCTCCATCCCCTCTTTCCCTGGGTCACTAAGTCACTGCATGTTAAGGTATCAACACAGGGAGCCTTCTGTGATAACAGAGAGAACTCATTATTAGGACAAAAAGGATTACACAGTGCTTATATGTCAGTACCGTGTGTCTCGATTAAAATCTATCTTTATTTTTGACTGTCTCACAGTCTCTCATCCATACACCTACCCCATCCGCCCCTGTGTTGTGTAAGTGTAACCCTCTCCCTCTCTAAGATCAGTGTGTGTCCTGTGTAGCTGTGTGACAGTACTGCTCCCATCCTGTCAGACCAAGGCACTCTCTCTCAGTCACGGTGTAGGAGCACCTGCCCTCTCCAACCGGTCACGTCACTGGCTCTCAACAAAGACCTTTAAAAGTCAACTGTTGGAAGAGGCATCACACTTAACTTACAATGCTGTTCTTTTGGAATTCTAGACATAGTGATGAATCATGCAATTCACATAGCCTACAGTACAACATGTCCTATGAACAGCACTGTTGACTGCATACTTATTATTTCCATAGGCTGCAATGTCTGACTCTAAAGCAGACATTACCTCAGCAGGAGTTTCAGTGAACATGGAATAATCATTATTATTCATGTCTGGAAAGAGGATTTACAGTATATTACAGTAAATGCAATTCTTAGTAGATATAATTGAGGCACGATAACAATTCTCCACTGGAATTGTCAAAACAACAACATTTTACTGTCAATTTATTTGAGATATTTCCGTTTGTATTGAATTACCCATATCAATAACAGGCATTAATGTACAGTACCCTATGAGGTCTCACTGGCAACAGACTAGATCTTTCCATCAGACTGCCATGATGGGAATATACCTACCCGTATGTTTTGTGTGTTTATGTTGCATATTGTGTATATACAATAGAAAAAGTGTTCCATTGAGGTAAAGCAGCATCAGTATTGAGTGTGACATTTGAGCGTTTGACAGTTTGTTTACTGTATTTCGGTTCGACCCACAGTCAAGTACACAGTGTTTGTATAACACACACAAAGTTTCCGTGTCGTTCTATTTCACATGCAGGTCCTCTGTGCTAAAGGAGGGAGTGCTTGAACTCAGTGCAGTCCTTTTACTGCAATTATTTTGTATTAAAGACATGCTATGTTCTTCACATTTTCTCAACAGTACCTTGGGAAACGTCTGAGTTAAACACTATTTCGGGGCAATGAAATCCTGAAACATGAAATCACACCTTAATAACACGATTGTGTCAGTGACACTGTCTTCCCTCTGTTTCTGTCTCACACCCTCTCTCTCTCTCTCTCGCTCTCTCTCTCTCTCTCCCTCTCTCTCTCTCCCTCTCTCTCCCCTCCTCAGCTCTTTTGCTATGTCTAAGGCAGCCGTGAGGAAGCTGCACTGGTGCTCCAAGGTCCAGGAGAGATTCATCCCCCTGGTTGGTTCCTCTGGGGAACTGGGGGTGGCCGTGGGCGGTGGAGCTGACTATGGAGAGTTCCCATTCGTCACCACAGCCCCCGGGGGCGGGTTCACAGTGGGCGACATCATCCTAGAGATTGGGGGTACCCCTGTGTTAGGGATGACACTAGGAGATGTCCGGGGGGTCCTTAACTCCTGCCCCCATCCCATCCGCATCAAGACGGTCTCACCAGGTACTGTATGGCTCAGTGTGGTAACTTACTCCTTGGTCTGGGGACACATTGTGAATGCTGCTACTTCATCTGTCAATCTCTTAAATCGTTGTCAACCCCAACTTCTTCTTCACATGCTAACACTATGTGAATGGTCACACTGCCTCCCTTAGGCTACTCATAGAATAACACGCTTCCCAAGTGGTTATCCAAACATTGCTGAATAATCACTGATACTGGAAAAAACAAACTTGACACAACTGTAAGGAGTTTGCTGGCCCAGAATACTTAGCACCTCTGAACGTAATTTGTGAACTGAGTGCGCACCGATTTTACTCGTAGAATCGCGTGAAAAATGTCAGACGTCTACTGCGGGCGGTCCCTAAAACACAGTGTGCGGAGGGTGGGAAGTGTTCAAATTCCTGATGGCACATGTGACAAGGAGTCCTGAGAGGGCTGTGTCGACGTGACGATACAGTTGTCTATCACCCTGGAGGGGCCTTGGTATTTATAGAGGGGGGTGGGGTGACGGATGTGTTTGTTAGGTCTGAACGGAGCAATATGTCACTGCTATGTCACCTGACTGTGGCTCCCCATGGCCTTGCTGGGGTAGATTGATGGCTAAATCGCCAGCAGGACTGTAAATGGGGCCCTTTAATCCTGGTCCCTCTGCCGCTGGTATCATTCTGTGAGCCAGGCGGACAGGCGAACCTCCCTCCCTGGGTATTCTGAATGCATGTACTGTGAACAGAGATGATGGGCTGAGCTGTAATGTGCTGCTGTATTGCCTGTACTGTAGGCCTACTCCTCCTAATTTCTCCTCCCCCTCATGCTCCTCCTCTTCCTTCCCCCTCATCCACCTCCGCCTCCTCCTCCACCTCCGCCTCCTCCTCCATCTCCGCCTCCTCCTCCACCTTCTCCTCCTCCACAATCCAGGCCATCAGGGACACCATTGTGCTGTCAGTCTTTATACCACTAATGCTATGATATGAGACTTAAGTAAGTGTGGTAAATGATCCCTTCATTATATCTGTGACAGAAGAGGATTAAAGGGCTTGTACCAACCCTGTTCATGTTTTGACAGACAGACACTATCATTACTGTCTATGATAACCTTGAAAGCTGATGTAAAGGACAACACTTTACTTAATCATGATGTGCCATATTGTGTTGTGGTGAAGCAGTATTTATGGGTGTTTATCATATGTGTTTTTGTCTAGTGCATTCTGTTGTTTCTGTGAAAACAACATAGCTCTGTGAAAGCAAGCGCTCTAGTTCATTTTACTTACAGTATACATGACAACATTAGTCTGATGTATTTTTGTATATTCATAAAGCACAATGCTGGACATCTGTTTCACAATGCCAACAAAAGCCTCTCATTATTTCTCTCAGAAAGCTGCAGGCCCAGGTCTTGATCTGCGCGTCATGCTTGTGTGTAGGAGACTGCCTATGCTAATAAAGTTTTATTACAGTGACGTTTTAATAGCAGCACAGAAGATTCAATCTGCACTCATATCTGGGCCAGCCTAGAGTACAGGCCACTTTACCAGAGATAGAGGGTTGGGAAGCAGTAGCAGCAGGGGCAGGGGAGGAGTGGATGTGGTGGTCGTCTGTCAGTGTGACAAGCAGGGAGATGCACTCAGGCCATCCATAACACCAAGTGATTTGTCATCAGAGGCCATAAAGCACTTGAGATTAAACGAATAGATCAGAGAGTGGAATAAATGCCTGAGCCATCAGCCCAGCCTGCTGTGTGACAGCACCACCCTGCAGCGTTTTATACCACTGCCTCTGTGTTATTAGGCTATGCATGAGAGGCTGAGAAATGCTATATCATGTACTCTGGATGACTGATAAAGTGTTAAGAAGGAGATGTAGTATGTATTAGAGAGGGATGGATTGGGAAGGAGGGTGTGGGAATGATATAGAGGTAAATCAAAGCTACTGGAGCGATACAGTCTGGGGAATGTTGGCTTGGGCTGTCACTCGTTTTGACAGGGTATACAAATATTTAGACAATTCGTCCGTTTTTGACTGTTGAGCTGATATTGCAATTTCTCTGTCTGTCTCCGTCTCCCTCGCTCTCTTTCCCCCCCTCTTTCTGTTTCTCTCTGCTCTCTCTCCCTCTCTCTGCCTCTCAGGCTCTGCCTTGTGTAAGGACCTCAGGCTGTATCTGAGTAAGTGCTTCACTCCAGGCTCCATGGACAGCCAGCTTCAGCAGGTCATCCGGGAGAACCTCTACCTCCGAGCCGTGCCATGTGAGTCCCATGAAGCTGTGCCCTCTACCTCTACCTTTAACTGTGCCCGTTACTGTCCCCTGCTGCTGTAACCTGTAAGTCCCCTTTAAGTCCTTTGCAGCTATGCCCTCTAAATCTGTTGGGACACTATAGTTGTGTGTCCACCTTTAGCTGTACCTCTATCTGTTCCAGGGGCTGTAACATGTGAGTCCCCCTTAGCTGCACCTCTATCTGTTCCAGGGGCTGTAACATGTGAGTCCCCCTTAGCTGCACCTCTATCTGTTCCAGGGGCTGTAACATGTGAGTCCCCATTAGCTGCACCTCTATCTGTTCCAGAGGCTGTAACATGTGAGTTCCCATTAGCTGCACCTCTATCTGTTCCAGAGGCTGTAACATGTGAGTTCCCATTAGCTGCACCTCTATCTGTTCCAGAGGCTGTAACATGTGAGTCCCCCTTAGCTGCACCTCTATCTGTTCCAGAGGCTGTAACATGTGAGTCCCCATTAGCTGCACCTCTATCTGTTCCAGAGGTTGTAACATGTGAGTTCCCATTAGCTGCACCTCTATCTGTTCCAGAGGCTGTAACATGTGAGTTCCCATTAGCTGCACCTCTATCTGTTCCAGAGGCTGTAACATGTGAGTTCCCATTAGCTGCACCTCTATCTGTTCCAGAGGCTGTAACATGTGAGTCCCCATTAGCTGCACCTCTATCTGTTCCAGAGGCTGTAACATGTGAGTTCCCATTAGCTGCACCTCTATCTGTTCCAGAGGCTGTAACATGTGAGTTCCCATTAGCTGCACCTCTATCTGTTCCAGAGGCTGTAACATGTGAGTCCATTATAGGTTAGTATGTACTTTTTAATAATATAAATAGGAATTAGTATCTCTCTGCTAATTACGTATCTGGACATCACATCTCAACATTTAAACACATTTAGATTTAGAGTAGACCTACATGGCTGGCTCCATGCAAACCGTGTTAATTGGTGTGCAATCACAATCAGAGCCCGGGTAAGCTGTTTATGCCACCTCCGTGTGCCAATATATGCAAATAGAAGATGTGTCGAGTGGATTCAATAAGTGATTTTTCAACCCTGGCTTCATCAGTCAAACATTTACAAGTCAAGTTTAGGTGAGAGAAAGCGCCTAGAGGAATATTCCCTAGGACATTTCCATGGCAACTGTCTGTATTGTTAAACTGTTAACTTTATCCGGAGTGGCAGTGACTCCCCTTCACTTAGAATATTCTCCGGCCTGTATCGGTAGCATTTTCTGTCTTCATTTTATGCTATTTCACTGGTTCATGTCTGGTATCTTTCTTGTTTGGTTACATATTCCTTTTTCTCTTTATTTTGGATGTGTTTTCATCTATTTATACAGTTAACCTCAATTACTTTGTTCAATGATAATGATTTAAAGTTGTCTAAAACATTTGAAGCAAAGACTCTTGGGTATATAGAGCATCGGTTGCTATCTTAATCCTCTCTCTAAGGGCCAGAGTGATGTCACAGTGAGAGTGGACTGGAGAAGGCTATGGTGTGGATTTCTGTGAAGCTCTTATTTTGGTGTCTTATCACTGACTGGTGTAATATCTGTCTGATAGGTTTGGCTCGTGTCATGTTGTCTCTCTTAAACAGCCATTAGTCTGCCTGGTGGGCTGGCCACAGACCACCCTGGCCGGCCATAGCCTGGCCAGCCCACGGCGATGGGGAGTTTGGCGCTAATCTCTTGTTTAGCCAGGAAGTAGGTCATGTGGAACAGTCTGCCAGACCAGTCAGCCTCTCCACCACATGTCTCTCTGATTTGTTGAAAGAGCAAGGCGCATGTAAAAACTCCCAAGAATATGCAAGAAAACAACAAGATATTCTGTGTCTTTGAGCTTTGAACATTGAGACATACAGTACATTCACATAAAAGAGGCAAACACATTCTCCAAGCCAAGTCCTTTTACATAACAATTCCATTTATCCAGTTTGTAATTAGATGGGGGTAAAGGTGATGGATCAGTCTGATCTTTAGTCTGTAGCATCTGTACTATAAATATGCTCAGCATTTATGGATTATGGATTAGAGAGCCTTGCGTACAGCCGCCCTGGTGCTGCTAGACCCGGGTGGAGATAGACTTGTGACACAACTTCCTGCCTGGCTCTCTAAGTTGGAGTGACAGCGAGACAGCACGCTCATCCCCTGGCTGTGTAATCCTCTGATCTGCAGGAGATGGATGACACAGTAAGATGCTGCTGCTCTCCCACTCCCTCCTATACCAACACAGACAAACACTGTAACAACGTTGAAATCCAAGTTTAGCCCACTTGCAAAAACACAAGCAAGTCAACTCAAATGACACTCTTGTATTGCACCTTATACAGTGCCTTGCAAAAGTATTCATCCCCCTTGGTGTTTTTCCTATTTTGTTGCATTGCAACCTGTAATTTAAATGGATTTTTATTTGGATTTAATGTAATGGACATACACAAAATAGTCCGAACTGGTGAAGTGAAATAACTTGTTTCAAAAAAAATAAAAAAATAAAATAACGGAAAAGTGGTGCGTGCTATGAAGCCCCTAAATAAGATCTGGTGCAACCAATTACCTTCAGAAGTCACATAATTAGTTAAATAAAGTCCACCTGTGTGCAATCTAAGTGTCACATAATGTCAGTATATATACACACCTTTTCTGAAAGGCCCCAGAGTCTGCAACACCCCTAAGCAAGGGGCACCACCAAGCAAGCGGCACCACGAAGACCAAGGAGCTCTCCAAACAGGTCAAGGACAAAGTTATGGAGAAGTACAGATCAGGGGTGGGTTATAAAAAAATATCAAACTTTGAACATCCCACGGAGCACCATTAAATCCATTATTAAAAGAGAGAGAGAGGGCCACCCACCAAAACTCACGGACCAGGCAAGGAAGGCATTAATCAGAGAGGCAACAAAGAGACCAAAGATAACCCTGAAGGAGCTGAAAAGCTCCACAACGGAGATTGGAGTATCTGTCCATAGGACCACTTTAAGCCGTACACTCCACAGAGCTGGGCTTTACGGAAGAGTGGCCAGAAAAAAGCCATTGCTTAAAGAAAAAAATAAGCAAACACATTTGGTGTTCGCCAAAAGGCATGTGGGAGACTCCCCAAACATATGGAAGAAGCTACTCTGGTCAGATGAGACTAAAACTGAGCTTTTTGGCCATCAAGGAAAACGCTATGTCTGGCGCAAACCCAACACCTCTCATCACCCCGAGAACACCATCCCCACAGTGAAGCATGGCGGTGGCAGCATCATGCTGAGGGGATGTTTTTCATCAGAGACTGGGAAACTGGTCAGAATTGAAGGAATGATGGATGGCGCTAAATACAGGGAAATTCTTGAGGGAAACCTGTTTCAGTCTTCCAAAGATTTGAGACTGGGACGGAGGTTCACCTTCAAGCAGGACAATGACCCTAAGCATACTGCTAAAGCAACACGAGTGGTTTAAGGGGAAACATTTAAATGTCTTGGAATGGCCTAGTCAAAGCCCAGACCTCAATCCAATTGAGAATCTGTGGTATGAATTAAAGATTGTTTTACACCAGCGGAACCCATCCAACATGAAGGAGCTGGAGCATTTTTGCCTTGAACAATGGGCAAGAATCCCAGTGGCTAGATGTGCCAAGCTTATAGAGACATACCCCAAGAGACTTGCAGTTGTAATTGCTGCAAAAGGTGGCTCTACAAAGTATTGACTTTGGAGAGGTGAATAGTTATGCACACAAGTTTTCTGTTTTTTTTTGTCTTATTTCTTGTTTGTTTCACAATAAAACATATTTTGCATCTTCAAAGTGGTAGGCATGTTGTGTAAATCAAATGATACAACCCCCCAAAAAATCCATTTTTAATTCCAGGTTGTAAGGCAACAAAATAGAAAAAATGCCAAGGGGGGTGAATACTTTCGCAAGCCACTGTACCTCTCATGCTTGGGTTGAAACATGGTTGTTTTGTTTTTCATGGTGGAAGAAGACGTAGTGGATATGGCTGAAACTTCAGCTTAAAGAGTTGAGTGCAACAGTGGCTCAGTGTGGCCCACTTCATGATATACATGTACAGTGGGGAGAACAAGTATTTTATACACTGCCGATTTTGCAGGTTTTCCTACTTACAAAGCATGTAGAGGTCTGTAATTTTTATCATAGGTACACTTCAACTGTGAGACGGAATCTAAAACAAAAATCCAGAAAATCACATTGTATGATTTTTAAGTAATTAATTTGCATTTTATTGCATGACATAAGTATTTGATCACCTACCAACCAGTAAGAATTCCAGCTCTCACAGACCTGTTCGTTTTTCTTTAAGAAACCCTCCTGTTCTCCACTCATTACCTGTATTAACTGCACCTTTTTGAACTCGTTACCTGTATAAAAGACACCTGTCCACACACTCAATCAAACAGACTCCAACCTCTCCACAATGGCCAAGACCAGAGAGCCGTGTAAGGACATCAGGGATAAAATTGTAGACCTGCACAAGGCTGGGATGGGCTACAGGACAATAGGCAAGCAGCTTGGTGAGAAGGCAACAACTGTTGGCGCAATTATTAGAAAATGGAAGAAGTTCAAGATGATGGTCAATCACCCTCGGTCTGGGGCTCCATGCAAGATCTCACCTCGTGGGGCATTAATGATCATGATGAAGTTGAGGGATCAGCCCAGAACTACACGGCAGGACCTGGTCAATGACCTGAAGAGAGCTGGGACCACAGTCTCAAAGAAAACCATTAGTAACACACTACGCCGTCATGGATTAAAATCCTGCAGCGCACGCAAGGTCCCCCTGCTCAAGCCAGCGCATGTCCAGGCCTGTCTGAAGTTTGCCAATGACCATCTGGATGATCCAGAGGAGGAATGGGAGAAGGTCATGTGGTCTGATGAGACAAAAATAGAGCTTTTTGGTCTAAACTCCACTTGCCGTGTTTGGAGGAAGAAGAAGGATGAGTACATTCAAGAACACCATCCCAACCATGAAGTATGGAGGTGGAAACATCATTCTTTGGGGATGCTTTTCTGCAAAGGGGACAGGACGACTGCACCGTATTGACGAGAGGATGGATGGGGCCATGTATCGCGAGATCTTGGCCAACAACCTCCTTCCCTCAGCAAGAGCATTGAAGTAGCTTCTTCCATATGTTTGGGGAGTCTCCCACATGCCTTTTGGCGAACACCAAATGTGTTTGCTTATTTTTTTCTTTAAGCAATGGCTTTTTTCTGGCCACTCTTCCGTAAAGCCCAGCTCTGTGGAGTGTACGGCTTAAAGTGGTCCTATGGACAGATACTCCAATCTCCATTGTGGAGCTTTTCAGCTCCTTCAGGGTTATCTTTGGTCTCTTTGTTGCCTCTCTGATTAATGCCTTCCTTGCCTGGTCCGTGAGTTTTGGTGGGCGGCCCTGTCTTGGCAGGTTTGTTGTGGTGCTATATTCTTTCCCTTTTTTAATAATGGATTTAATGATGCTCCGTGGGATGTTCAAAGTTTGATATTTTTTTATAACCCACCCCTGATCTGTACTTCTCCACAACTTTGTCCTTGACCTGTTTGGAGAGCTCCTTGGTCTTCGTGGTGCCGCTTGCTTGGTGGTGCCCCTTGCTTAGGGGTGTTGCAGACTCTGGGGCCTTTCAGAAAAGGTGTGTATATATACTGACATTATGTGACACTTAGATTGCACACAGGTGGACTTTATTTAACTAATTATGTGACTTCTGAAGGTAATTGGTTGCACCAGATCTTATTTAGGGGCTTCATAGCAAAGGGGGTGAATACATATGCACGCACCACTTTTCCGTTATTTAAATTTAA